TTCCCAGGGTGGGTTCAAATCCCACGTAGTACTGGTACTGGGCGTTTTTAATTTACCTTCTTTTTTCCAAGAAGATAAAAAAGTAAAACTCTTTCTTCCAGCTAGCTTTCTAGCTAGCTTGTCCCTGCTGGGGTTTGAACCTGCTTTGGGAAGGTTCTCAACCGTGTGGGTTTCCAACCCTGTGACTTAACCTGTTGAGCCACTTGGGTCCCCCCACAAGGGTAGTAGTTCGGACCTAATATTTAAAGTACAGATTGGTACTTAGTTGATTGCGCAATGTTGAGGTTAGACTCTATGATGTACATGTAAAGTTGGACATGACACTGTGACGACTGGAATCAAGGCTAAGCACTGAGGCAATCATACAAGCATGAAGCATTACAGGAGTTTATTTCTCAGCAGTCAGACCACCATTCTACTTGAGTGGAATGATAGGCAACAATTTACAAAAATACTCAGCATTGCCCTACATGAACTTCTTTTACCCTTTACATGAAGATCATAAACTTACTGTACAAGTTTCCAAAGAAAATGCGCACTTTGACAAAAACTGAAGTTTGTCTGCTTGATTCCTGATCTGAATATTTACAGGACTTTTGAAAATTAAATCAATACACTACACTTAGTAAGTTTCAAAAAGCAGATTTAAAAAATGGCAAGCATCTTTCCACATACAAAGTTTGGCTTTAAATTTAAAATGCTCTGCATTTTGAAAATATCAACTTGGATACACATTCTGGAGGGAAGCTCCATTTGAATGAAATTTGCCAGTATCATATTTATGGACAGCTTGCAGGTGTATCTTTGAGATGACTTTCACAAGCTACGCAAAACCTTAACGACTCTTGAAATTACCACAATCGGCATCAGAGCAGCTGATATACATTATTCAGGAATTGTGCACTGATTTTTCAAGCCTACCAGATCCTTGTGAAAATCCAACTTCTTGAAATTCTTTTGATTTTTGAGTGCAAGAGGACATGACTTCTTCAAAATGCCACATGTAATTAAAAAACAAATCCTCATTCTGAATACATGGAGTTTCCATGGTAACAATGAGTGCCACTGATGGTACCTGTACAACATAAATGCACTTTCAATTAAACTAAACTCTAATTAGGATGCCAAAAAAGAAGAAAAAACAATACATTTACATTAGATTTGATTACAAAATTTATATTGCTCTGTAGGGTAGGTGTCTTGCAGCCCCTACCACTATTAAAAACCACAGAGAGAAGTCAAAGTAAGGCCAGGGTACCTTTATTCGAGGCTTTCTGGCTAAGGGGAATCCCTGACGTTAAAGGTTACTAAACTAAGCTATTCAGCATGAACAGAGGAAGTCAACAACAGGAGTTGATTGCATTTGGCTGTAAATTTTTTCTCTTTGATTAAGGCCATCGGTTTGACCCCAGGTTAACTGATGTCTGTTTTTCACCCCAGAATATTAAAACATAAAAAGAAAAGTCTGCATTTGGGATCTTTTTAAAAATACAGTTTTAAGCACTTTTGGTTTCCTTGTAAAATTGAATTTTTTGGTAAAATACTTTCTGGTTTCCTCCAAAATTAAAAATACAAATTATGTCAATATTCCACAGGATTCTACCAGGATTTTAATATATTTTAGACTTTAAAAGTCAGCCAGAATTTCAAATAAAGACACCTGTGTTTGAATCAACAGCCTTTAAAACCTGCCACAGCAAAACCTGGATGTCAACATCTCATTCACCTTATGTGCTTGGAAGTTTTTAACAGCACAGCATTTTTCTTTGCGTTTCAATGTGATTAAACAAAGCTACATCATTTCCGTTATAATATGTAACAAAGTATGATGTGTCTTGGCTTAAACGCTAAACAGTGGGAGAGTGGTATCTCAAACCAGCTTGGATTTCTTTCCTTTATATTCTGATCAATAAAGATTACCCTCAACCGCCATATGCATAGTACTCATTTTATAATAAATCAACTTCCGATTCTTGTGCATAAAACTCTTTGGAATCAGCATTATTACAATATTGTCACACTTGACTGAAAAATATCTACTGAATGATTTCCTTCGAAAAAATACTTCAGATTGCATTTTAAATTATACAGCATTTCAGGAGTACAAAATCATTACAAAATATTACAAACTGCCCCTTCCTAGCAATGGCCATCTGACCCCACCTGACCCTGCCTAACACCACCTGACCCTGCCTAAACCCACCCAACCCCGCCTAAACCTATCCGACTGTGCCAACCATTCTGTCCCCACCCAACCTCACCTGACCCTTCCCAGCCCCACTAAATGCTGACAATTCACCCCCACCTAACTCAATCCAACTAGACAGAAACCCACCACTACCTGACTACTGCAACTCAAATGTTCAAGATGACCTTTGGGACAATCTCTTTCAACGACTGATCAGCCAGATTTCTCAAAAAATGTGATGAGAATTTGTGACAAAACCAAAGAACAGAAGAAGTGTTGAACTTTGAAGCTCTTCAATAAGGAAGGTAGAGTTAGTTTTAGAGGTATGCGGTAGCCCCACGCAAGGAGATCTCTTTTCTGAGTATGTGTGGATCTAAATAGGACTGGAGAGTACTCCGGAAGTGTTTGACATCAAAACTACAGCACCAAGTGAGCTATCCCACCCTATGATGTTGGTGGCCACCTGTTCAGGGCCAGCTGGTCTAGTTGCTACATCACACATTTAATATTCCACAGGTTGACTCTTGCAAATCTCTTTCAGGCACTTTAATGTTTGATTTCTTTTCCGATCAGTTTATGGTGAGAAACTTGATCCAAGCTGAGCAAGATATCCCAAATATCTATTCCATTATTCCCATTTTCAGATTTTATTCCACAGTTGGCCAGAGCTGGGAAAGAAATCCAAATATGGATGCCACTCAATTTTCCCTGCAGTGACCTTTAAGCCTTCCAAAAGCAATATGTTCTAAAAAGTCAAATTTAGCAGTGAAAACATTGAAGCATTCACTTAGCAAACCATTTTTCAGACTAGTCCGATAGGGCATGTACAAAGAGTGTCATGCAGCGTCTGTGTAAGGAAATCTTTCTTAGAGCTGCTCGTATTTCAGTAGACTGTTTTCATTTACCTCGTCTTCTGGTTCCTGAGCAAAGGGGAATCCTCTGATGCATCGCTCTGACTGATGGCCTGTATCGGGTGCCCTCGCCTGTCGGGCTCGCTCCGACACTCCTGTTGTCTCGTCTGCCACTCTCGGTAGGGGCACGGAGGGAAGTTGGTGGGTCTGTCTTTGGTTAGGAACCACTGAATCAGGGCACCGGTGAGAGATGAGAGAGCCCATGCAGCAAACAGAATGTAGTCTGAAGAAAACATAAAGTCAGATGGGTGAGGGAACAGTTTGGGAACTTTGTACATGCTTTTTGAAGGGAAAAAAATGAAATAAACTCAAGAAGTCTGTCACCATTTTCACAAAACATCTCGGCTCCCTTTTTTGGGGGGGGAAATCATGTTCGTTATTGCCTTCCCCTCATCTGCCCTTGAATCAGATGGCAGTGTATCAGCATATCAACCTATAAGTTGCCGAGTACCTTGACAAAGCAATCATTCCAGCTGGTATCCTAGTATTTCAAAACAAGAATTTCTCTTCTAGGAATAAATCTGACGACTTGAATTTGCCCGAACAGTTTGTGGCCACTGTTTAAGGATCTTACTTGGGCTACTTTCAAATCAGGCCTAAGGCACTAAGGGGAGGGGCATAGATTTCCAAATGTGGGGGGGGGGAATGTGTCACTGCTGGTTGCTGCTTCAATTTGTAACAAAACACATCTGAACCTTATTAAATAATTTGATATAATCCCAAGCAGAGAGGGCTGGAAACATTTAAATGTACATGTAGTAATCATCCAAGGTAGACATGTTTCGGACGAGCCCTGAAAAGGATGTGATCAAGGACTCACCAACAACTTCAAACTGGATGGTGTGATGAGCCTCTGCATATTTGGCTACGATGCCTCGTCGCATGACATTGTAGAGCACGTAATGAAGAATACCGGTGGTGAAATAGCTGATAGTAGCCAAGGCTAGATACGAACCCCAGACAGCACTGGAGACAATACTCAACTGAGCACAGGTGCAGAAAAGAGGAAGGAAAACATCTCCAAATAAGTCTTTGTTACTTCTGAGAGTGAATTCAGCGGAGCTAATGGGGGCCATGTTGTTATTGAAAAATTGATTAATTCTTGGGGCCTAATTCAATGGTGCCAGCACAAACTAGAAAGGAAACAA